TGGAGGAACAGAACATGGCTCAGAAGCAGGAACACAGTAAGTTCTCCTTCATCATTGTCTCGCTACCAAGTGCATCCGACTAACAGCTCATTTACAGTGACTGAGGTTCTCCGGGCCTTCCAAAGCGCCCTCGCCCTCTTAAGCAAGTCTTAAGTGCCATCAAGGCTGGAGACAGGAGGAGCAATCACAATGTTTGATTATCTGTGCAAAATACTGCACAAAACACATGTTCGACTTCCCAAGCAGGAGCGCGCTGGTTCGCGTCCCCTTCCCACTTTCCCTGAGTGATGGTGGTGAAGCGGGCCCCACACGTGATCCAAGCTCCGGGCGCCCAACGCGCTGATCCCGCGGTCCTCCCATCCAAATATTCAACTTACCTACTTCCTTCTTACAACAATTTCCTTCTCTCAAATCTTCCTCCACCCAACTTCCTTCCTTCAACACCCATCTCCATCATATCTTCCCTCATTCAACCGCTTTTCCTACAAAACATCCACACCAGAAAAAAAAAAACAGTCAAGAAGCACCACATCAACCCACCAACCTCAAGCTTCCACCCAGGCTGGCTGGCCCAAATGATGCCATCGTTTGCTGCACCAAGCGTCAGCAATGTGAGTCCCTCATCGATACCTTCCAATTTTCATACTGACTCTCATCACAGAACGACTTGGTAGCATTCTTCGAGGCTCATTTCTCTGGTGCGGCAGTCCGCAATTTCCAAGCTGATTTTTTGAATCCAAATCATCAGCCGGACGCTGCAACCACCAATGCCTCAGTCGAAGAAGATGGCGACGTCTTCGAGGAAGAAGACGATCTCGGCTACTATTACGATGGCGTCAAACGAACACTCACTGACGACCAAATCGCCATGTTTCGCCATTCTGAGCTCGAAACCATCAAGCGAGAGCAAGAGCGACGTTCAACGGCAGTACGCCAGGCAGGTGAGACTGGCGAGGATGGCACCCTTCGGGCTGCCGAGCCATCTCGCCCGCCGGGCAAAACTGCTAAGAACAAGAAGAAGAAACGGGGGAAGGGCAAGGGCCAAGAGCCCAAGCCCGACCTCCGCAAACGCACATGGGATGTCGTCGAGTCGGGGCTTGACACCCTCGACTACGATTGACATTCCACCGCCATCAACGCCCGGGCTGGCTGCCTCTGGTCGGGGATCTGTATGCCATTGGTGTTCACTCCTAGACCTTCTGGTGCCGGAAAGAACCATGCGGTCATTGACCCATGGACCTTCTGGTACCAGAAAGAACTGGGGGTGTGCCACTTCTAGACCTTCTGGCGGCTGGAAAGAACCATTGGGTCAGTGACCCGTGGACCTTCCGGTCGTCGGAAAGAACTAGAGGTCGCCACTTTTTGTATACAGACACGATCATGCACTCCCAGCTTTTGCCACCACGCTGAGGATTTTCCCTACGCTCGCGCAACGTGCTGCAGTGCCTTGTGCACTCAGCACCGTTCTAACTGTCGCAGAAATTGGGGGCCTCACACACGCTCTCATATCTGCTTGACGACCTGAACGCTGACGTCGAGGCAAATGCCTCCGTCGGTTCGCGGGGCTTGATGTGCGGGAATCCACCAAAATCCACTGTCATTGAAGGTATGTTCATTTCTCTTTTCTCTTTACCCCAATACCCTGTATGCTATGATGAAAACCTTGTATCGTCATCCTTAGTCGGATCCATTGCCAGAGCTGACTACTGCCGGCCAATTCCGGCGCCTGAGTCGCACTGAGCTTGGACATGTCGAGCAATAATCTTCTCTCTGACAGCATTCTCTCGCACTTCTTGGTCTTTGCAATTACTCAAGTCGAGGGACATCTGCTAACATTGGTTCCCAGGTCAATCGAATCAGGCATGTATTGCCTCGTGGCGGTATGGAAGAGGTGTTGGATGCCGGATGGCGACATAGGAAGAGGCATAAGATGCCATACAGGAAGATGAGAAGAGGCATAAAATGCCCACATTGGGATGGCAGAAGTGGCCTTTTGAGTCGTGTGGGAACAGGAAGTTGCACATGAAGGACGTGAGGATGAGACGATGTCTCAATGGAACAGAAAGGAATGGACGTCTTGGTCTTGCGGAGGAATGATTGATATGATACCCTTGTTTGCTACTGTCGGTCTGAAACGTTTGATGATTACCTTTGGTCATGGGAAAAGGAAATACAGAATGTCTGGAATTGCCAAACACGTTTGTCTTTCGAACAGTACTGTTGCCCTGAATTTGCTAAATTGACAACGATCCAATGATATATGCAACCAACCGTCTGTTTGATGTTCGAGTGAGATGTTCCTGAACCATCTACGAGCCCCAGTGAAGGAGAAGGTGATCTACTCCAAAGCACTGCCTTCCTTCATGAACAGCGACTGTCTGGAACCCTACTATGCGACCTCCCGTTGAGCGCATGACTGACTTCTTACAATCACTGTAGCCATCGCGCCGAAGGGACTCTAGTCAAGGTTCGTGACACAGGTCGAGACAGTTGGACGGCAGGGGCGTGCACGGATCACTTGGTCTTATCGGGCGGCCAGGACGATAAGTGGGAAGGCGCCTTTTCGGTCGACGACCAATCACGGCTCCAGACCGCTAAGCCTGATTTTAGACATCCCACCTTGATTTACTCCCTGCCCCGTTCTCCCACCACCACCACCCGCTCCACGTCCAGCCAGGCTACCTCAGCCACGCCGAGACCCCTCCTCCTCGTCCTGCCTCCGCCGCAAAATCCAACCTCACGCAACATCACCACCCCGTCCCTGTCCAAACCTGCGTACGATCGTAGGCAAAAAAGTCGCCCAACATGGCGCGGGTCTACGCAGATGTCAACCAGAACATGCCCCGCAGCTACTGGGACTACGATTCAGTCAACATTAGTAGGTTTTCAACCTCGCGCTTCCTACCTTGTCTCTCTCGCCCAGAGATCGACTAGGTGTATGCGACCTGCATTCGCCATACCTACTCACCATACGTTGCCCAACTTTACGGATTCACAGTTACTAACCTTTCAATCAATAGGCTGGGGGGTTCTCGAGAACTACGAGGTCGTTAGGAAAATTGGTACGTTTTGTGCTTCCGCCGAGGGTGGCCCCCGCGCCGCGCGCATGCGCCATACCGCCGCATACTCTGCGCGCACGAGTCGAACCGAAGAAAGCATATTTGGCTGATACAGGTCTTCAACAACAGGTCGCGGAAAATACTCCGAGGTCTTTGAGGGCATCAATGTCGTTAACTACCAGAAGTGCGTCATCAAGGTCTTGAAGCCTGTTAAGAAGAAGAAGATCAAGCGTGAGATCAAGATCTTGCAAAACTTGGCGGGAGGACCCAATGTCGTGGCTCTTCTGGACGTGGTCAGGGACTCACAAGTAAGCGAATTCTGCCGTAAGATCATTCGCCAAGTCAGTGGGCTAATGATGCATTTTCGAGTAGAGCAAGACGCCATCCCTCATCTTCGAGCATGTCAATAACACCGACTTCCGAAGCCTCTACCCCAAATTCAACGATCTTGATGTTCGCTACTACATCAATGAGCTACTGAAGGCTCTTGACTTCTGTCACAGCAAGGGCATCATGCACCGCGACGTCAAACCTCACAACGTTATGATCGATCATGAGAACAGAAAGGTACGTATCGCGCTTGGTGGAATACATCATGGTCTTGAAACTAATACTATGCCAGTTGCGACTCATTGACTGGGGTTTGGCCGAGTTTTACCACCAGGGAACTGAGTACAACGTGCGCGTGGCTTCCAGATACTTCAAGGGTCCCGAGTTGTTGGTCGATTTCCAGGAGTACGACTACAGCTTGGACATGTGGAGTCTGGGTGCCATGTTTGCCTCCATGATCTTCCGCAAGGAGCCGTTCTTCCATGGCAACTCTAACTCAGACCAACTTGTCAAGATTGCGAAGGTGCTCGGTACGGACGACCTCTTCGACTACCTCGACAAGTACGAGATCGAGCTCGATGCGCAGTATGACGACATCCTCGGCCGTTTCCAGAAGAAGCCCTGGCACTCTTTCGTCACCGCGGAAAACCAGCGCTTCGTCAGCAATGAAGCGATTGATTTCCTGGACAAGCTTCTTCGATACGACCATCAAGTATGTTGACACCATGCGAGGCGAGACTAGGCGAGGACGATGTACTGACACGCAAGCAGGAACGTCTTACTGCTAAGGAAGCCCAGGCACACCCTTACTTCAACCCTGTTCGGGACCCCGAGGTTTTCAAGCAGCACTTGGCCAACCAGACCGCCTCAGGTGTGAGCAGCAACTGAGTCTAAGTCGTCGGCCAGCTTGGTTTCGCAACTACTCACACCCCACGCGACAATTTGGATCTTCCCTCTGCACATAGACTGTACGCAAGAGGCATAACACTGCAGGCGGCGCAGGCGGTCACTCCGGGACTAGACCCTGCAACCGCAAGCCGGCCCGGGTTCTAGACTAAAGTCCCTTCTTCCAGGAGTGAACATGGCTCGGATCAACGGGACAAAGAAGCATGAAGCGGACCTTCCACCTCCCTCAGTCTCAATACATGGAATGATTATTCGAAATGACTTTTCAAGATGGGTACCTGTTCACGGGCGACGACACGAAAGGTGGTCTACACACATATTTTAGGCGTACAAACGTCGACCAAAGCAAGGAGCAGCGAGGACGAATGGAGAAATGTGGTGGAAGACAGGAAATTTGGCTTGCGTAAGGATCTGGGTTTCACCACACCGGGGATAAGGCGTTTGCGAGGTCCATGCCCCTTCCGTTCCAACTGCCCCTCGACATCCATGACTTTGCATAACGTGGTTTTCATGATTTTCTTTACAGAAGCTCTCTGGTATTCATCTGATGTAGCGACTAATGAGGAAGCTACTTGGCTTCCATGACCTCACCTTAAGGCCACAAGTGCCCCGCTATCTGCTGTTTCTATCTGCGCGTCCGAGAGAGGTTCCTCTGTGCCCCCATGACAAGACCTCGCTCTCCAAGTATGCTTTGATTCCTTGACCCTACAGGCAAGTGAAGCAGAAGTCTCTGTCGCATCGAAATCCATCCTCACCACAGCGCCTCATATTCCCGCCGGGCGTTTGGACAAGTGAGCCTGACGGGCTGCCAAAGTGAACTCGCGTGGGCGTGGCAAACGCCCACGCCGCCTTACGCTTCTTGCCTCTGGCAGTCTCTGTGCCTGTAGTGGTCGCACCTGCTGCACCCGTATTCCCGCTCCCGCGAACGAGCGGGCTTCTCTGCTTCATGGGCGTCGTGATCTTGGTGTGCGGTCCGGCAAGGAGGTCCGAGGTGTAGGATGTGCGTCTACGTTCGGCCGATGAGCCGCCGCCCGAGGCCGCTGTGTGGGTTTTGAAGAGGTCTAGGGTGAGTTCGTCTTCGTCGTCGGAGAGGAGGGAGATGAAGGAGTTTCTGGAGGCCGAGTCGCGCGTGGTTCGGGGTTGGTGGTGTCTCGACGATGAGGATGGTGTGCTGGGGACGACCTTTTGGTTCTGTGTGAAATTTGGCGAGGGGTCAGAGAAGGGTGGGGGTGTAAGGGATTCCGACTTTGCGAGTGTTGATGATGCAGACTTGTGGCTTCTCGGCTTTGTTCGACGCTCTGAGCTGGCGGACGCGCGGGGCCTGGCGGCCTTTCTAGTCTTGGCTGACGATTTGCTAACGGAGTACTTCTTTAGAGGACTGCTGGATTGGAGACGCATGTGTTTGAAGGGCGATGTGGCTGTTTTGTCGACGGCTCCCGAGGACTTTGTCGGTGATGACGGACGACCTCTTCGAAGAGGCGGCCCGAGGAGGCTTCCTCTTGATTGTGGTGGGAGAATGGGAAGCTCAATCTCCATTGCTTCGGATTCGGGTTCGGCTTCGGGCGCGCTTGTTTCGTCGATGTCGTCGAGGCCGAGGGGGATTGTGAAGGGCTCGATGACTTCCTCGTCATCGTCTTGCTGTGTTTCTCCCATTTGTTGGAGTTCCTCGGGCTCACTTTGAGTGCCTTGCCGAGTCCCATCCTGAGCTTCCTCTTGGACCTGCTCCTGGACCTGTTCTTGGACTTGCTCATCGGTACCCTCCTGGATCTCCTCGTTGATGTTTTCCTGAATCTCTTTCTGGATCTCCTCCTGGATATCCTCCTGGATCTCTTCATGAAATTGTTTCTGGAAATCGTCATGAATCTGCTCCTGTATCTCCTGAGCCTCCTCCAAGATCATTTCTCCAAGCACATTATGGTTGGCGGGTGTATGGAGATTCTGCTTTAAGCTCTCCTGAATCTTAGGCTCCTGCGCCGCCAAGACCTCATTTTGCGACGGAGCCTCTGCACCAGCCGGATTCGTTGGTTCTGTGGAGGAATGTCCCTCTATCGGACTGATTTCAGGGAGAACTTCCGCTGATAAGATCGTGAAGTTCATGTCAGACCCAATGGGCCTCTCGCTAACTTCTTCGATTTGAAGACTTCCCTGTTCCTCGCTAAGTTCTGCGAGCGCATCGACCTGCTGCTCAGAGATTCCGATGTCGATGTCACTAGGTTCTATCGAAGCCATCTTGCTGGTCGTGAACGGTCCGTCATTGGACTCCACACGAGATGGCCGGTGGTCGTCTAATGTCGATAACTTCTCCAAAGGCCCGGACGTGGCCTCTATTGCATGGTCTGCCACTTCAACCGCACCCGAAATAGTATCCATCTCCTTTCCGCTGCGAAGCTTTCTAATGCGAGTTGTGGGAATACCTTCCTCGTCATCAGAGAAGTCGTATGAGGAGTCAATTCTATGCCTGACGAATGTTTCCTTCGGCGGCTCAGCGGGGTTCGCAGTTGGTGCTTTGACAGGCACAGCCGTCTCGACCGAGCCAGCCGCAGGATCGCCCACTGTCACAAGAGCTGTCGAAGTGGTTTCGGAGACGGTCAGGTTAGCAAGCTGGGGCGCCAGGGCCTCATGTTGGTGATCCGACTCAAAGATATCCATATCCTCGGGATCTTCGACTAATGTGATCTCCTCTGGGGAGGGAATCTTGGAGAACAACTCGATCACGAATCGGTGCTTTGGCCTGTCCTGCGACTCCTTTTCGGTCACAAAACTAGTCGAGTTCTGGTCACCCTCAACCTCAACTCCGGCTTCAGCTCCAGCTTCAACTCCAACTTCAGTTGGTAATCCTAACGATTGGTCTTGAGCTTCTTTTTCGGTTGGTTGACTCGGCTTGGTAGCTTCTGCCTCTTGAGAAACTCCTCCTGGTTTGATAACTTTGGCTGGGATGAGTTGTCTTCTCGGTCTTGGGCCTTCTTTCACAGAAGTTTTATTCTGATTGAGCCAGCCAATCTCTCTCGAGAGGGTTTTTGATATGGCGGGTTTCGAACTTGATGGTTTGGCTTCGGTAGGTGGTTCAAGCTCTCGTGCATCGTTTTTGACAGTGGTGCCTACTGCCTCCTCCAAGGTGGTATCCGTATTATCCGATGTCTTTTTCGCAGCCCTAAGCCCCTTATCTACAACGGCAACTCCAAGAAGATCGTCTTCGTTATCGTCGTCTTGGTCGGTGAATGCCTGTAATAACTTTGTTGACATTGGTCTCGCCATCCTAGGGACTTCGTTCCTCGCGCGGATGAGCTGCTTCATGTCGATCTGAGCAGGCTCAGGTAATGCTTTCTCCTCATCGGTATCGCGCCGCGAAGACCACACAGACTTGAATCCTCGACTGGTGGGGAAGCGGTATCTGGCACCATAAAGTTTTGTCATCAAGTCGTCGCCAAGTTTGGGCTTGCTGATCTCGGGGACCCTCCAAGTTGGATCGACAGGTTCTGGTTCATGTCCCCAAACATCTGAGGACGGATTCGAGGTGCTGGGTCCTGGCTGGCGCGGTTGAGCAAAGCTGGACAGTCGTTGATCAGATCCTGGTGTTGATACGCCTGGCGAGACACTCGGCCGGGTTGGGTGCTGCCGTAGTTCGCCCTTTTGCTTGCTTATGAGGGCCCCTGGGTGAGATGCTTCATCGTCTTCGTTGTCTGACGCATCTGGGCTCCCATCCTCGCCCCCATCATCTTCGCCTAAGCCACCATCCTCCTCATCGTCGTCAGATGCAAATGCTTCCTCCAAGAGTACACCCTCGTCCTCGTCTTCGTCATCGTCATCCTCTGGGATTCCGGTGTCTCTCTCATATCTCATGCCGGCCAAGTGACCATTATCTGTAATGATCTTGCCGGTCCTGAGGTCGATTTCATCACCGATACCTGTGAAGTCCTTTTCATACTTTTGAAAGATGTGCTCAAAGGTCGATTTCAGTTTGAAGGCGGCAAATGCACGGGATTGTTCGAAGCGAAAGCCGGGATCCCGCATCTGAGACACCTCCTCGGGCTCATAGTTGAGCTCGTCATCTTCGTCTTCTTTTGGCTTTTGATCGAGCCTTGGCCTCTTTGTGGGCGGTTCCATGTTGCCGGTCAGAAGCCTTAGAACCCCGAACTCATGCCGCTTGGAGAAGGCGGTGGCTTGGACATTAATGATTATGGAGAACGAAACGGCGATGATGAGATCCGAATAAGCGTCACTTGATGAACTCGGCATGGAAAGACGCGCTTCGACGCGGTGCACGGATGCATCGAATTCTCGCGTAAAGTGTAAAGCACGGGCCACGTGGGGTGCTGCCGTTGCCAGAGGCACCCGACAACTGCGCTGAGTGTGCGACGAATGATCCGTTCTACCACGAGGCAATTTACCAAGCTATCCGGCTTGAGCAGGTCGCAGGAAACTTTGACCTCATTCTTATTATAGCTTTTGGAGTATGGGCTCATGAATCAATGCTCTTTGTCTTCGTTGACCAATGTGATTTGGGCGCAAAACAATCAAGTTGAGGTTCACGAATGCCCAAGCGGACTACCTAATCTGTGCCACAGCTGCCTCAGTTGTTCTTTCAGTGGTCCAGAATATCATCGACTCATCACAATACATGATCGAAACAAGTAGAAACATAACGGAAAGCTCAGGTTGAATCGTTTTTAAGCTGAAAGTGAGCGCAAACTGGAAACGGAAGGGAAATCTCATCGAGTTGTCAGCAAGAGTGGTGGCACCCTAGGGGGTGAACTTAGCGTCTGCAGGACATCCGCAGGTACCTACCTCCACTGCCCTTTAGGTGACATCACAAGACCTCCCTCCTACCTTCAACCCTTTAATTTCAGAGCTTGCAACATGCGCGACACAGCAAAATGATTTGCCAAAAGTGTCGCACGCCGCTCAGACTAGACAGTTCCCTCGAGGAGTTGAATCCTGCGGCGTACGATCTTCTCGTCGGTCAGCACAAGCTTTCCCTCATCCGAAACGGCGCGCGCAAGGTAGCTAACCGAAACAGCTTCTTCCTCACAACAGTCACCCAAGAAGACGCCTTCATCACGGCCATACCATCCACAGGATGGCCAAAGAAAGGTGCTCTATGACAAGGTCTCGCAGAATGCGGCCTCTGCGACGTTCAAGCGCCATGGCAGTGGGCCATCGAGTTCGGCGCAACGAGATTCGACCATGTCCTTCATCTACCTTACCGAGTCACAAGTCGCTCAGCCAGTGCTTTCCCGACCCGATCCGCTGCCATCGAATACGAAATCAAACAGGGGGAACAAGGGCGGACAGAAGTCTCTTGAAGAAGAGCGCGGCGGTAGCAAGGCGCACGAGATAGAACGCATCAACAAGTTGTTCGAAATCCTCTCCGCGCGATCCGACATCGACCATCCCATCTGCGTCGAGTGTACCGATATGCTCGTAGAAGGTCTTCAGAAAAAACTTGAGGCTGCAGCGAGGGAGCGCGATGCCTATGTCGGCTTCTTGAAACAAGTGCAGAGCGACCAGCCGAACGAGGAGGATGTCAAAGCCCAAGAGGAAGCTCTGAAGAAGGCAAGGCAGGCCGAGACAGACGCCATGGCTGAGTTGCTACGCTTGGAGCAGGAAAAGGCATCTGTGGACGCGGAGATTATTGCTTTAGAGGAGGAGTCACAACAGCTTGACCACGAAGAAGAGCAGTTCTGGCGCGAGCGTAACGCCTTTGCTACCAAACTTGCCGACTTTCAAAACGAGCGCGACAGCACGAATTCCAGGTTCGATAACGATGCTCAGCTGTTGGAGAAGCTGCAACGCTCAAACGTATACAACGACACGTTCTGCATCAGCCACGACGGCACGTTTGCTACTATCAACGGGCTCCGTCTTGGCCGACTGTCGAACAAACCTGTTGATTGGCCTGAGATCAATGCAGCATGGGGCCACGCCCTTCTTCTGCTAGTCACAGTTGCTGACAAGCTAGGCTACAAATTTGACGGGTTCGAGCCGCAGCCCATGGGAAGCACTTCAAAAATCATTCGGTTTGAACTCCCGTCGCCAACGGCCAGCCGTTTAGGATCGCATCGGAACGCGCCACCGCCAGCTCCGAAGAAGCATGTTCTGGAGCTTTTCTCTAACGGAGATTTGCCTCTGGGACTGACATTCATGCACCGCAAGTTCGACAATGCGATGGTAGCATTTCTTGAACTCGTGCGACAGCTTGGCGCTTTCGTGCATCGACAGACGGCGGCCGACGGCCATCCACTTAGCCTTCCCTATAAGATTGAGGGCGACAAGATCATGGATGTGAGCATCAAGCTCGGCATTGCTCAAGATGATGGGTGGACGAAGGCGTGTAAGCTCACGCTAACGTGCTGCAAATTTCTGCTTGCACACGCTAGTAACGTGAATACGAGCGCGAGGGCTGCGAATAATCAATAATGACTGCACAAATTCGACGCATATCAAACAGGACTCGGATCATGGAGTTGAGGAGCTTTCTTGGCAGGTATAGATCAAGCGTATCATTTGGAGTTCACGGTGTATTACTATGAACAGGTCACAAGAAGCAGTGCATTCATTCTCTTGTTATTGCTTCCTACTGGAAAATCGCTTGCAGATCCTTGGAGAGGATCTCGTTATTTGTGCTGACATCTCCCAATCGTAGACTCGAGTTGGGACCAACCTAGCATGTAACACTGGCAACTCATAAACTACCTTGCAATCATCTCGCGATGAGACTTGACATGCAGCTTCCGGACGATGATTCAAAGCACGTGACGTAATTGCGAATATTCCCACGTCGCAATCTGACTGCATGCAGCTGGCCAAGTCAGCCTTGGTTGACGCCTGTTGGTGGCAGTCTGCGGCCATTCAGGCAGCAAGGCGCTCTCACGAAACATAAGCCGCTCGGCTGCCTCAATTGTCTTACACCACGGAACACACCCATGCAAGCCTAATGCACTGTTCTTTCCAAGAAAACCAATCAGTCATTTCGCGACCATATTACTTGCCTAGATGCGGGGTGATAGCTCGCCTTATCTGCTGCACCATGACCTGGCATAGAAGACAGTGTTCTATTGGCTGCTCAGCCTGCCTGCTGCCGCCTGCCGATGAACCCGAGAGCCGCAAAGAGCCATGAGCGTTAAAAAGGATCGATTCATCCACATCAACTTTACTTCTGTTGTCTCCGGCGTCATCCAGCCTGTCATTCTTTTCTCTTATCCTACTTCTTGCCGTGTAACACCAGGACTCTTACCTGACGTAGATTGCCTGTCATGGGTGGCCAAGCAGACAACGTAAGATTGCTGATGGACCTTACATTCTGGGGTTTTTGTGCAGACTAGCTAATAAACTTTAGACCATTGACGATGATGCCGGCTCGACAGTCAGCTTCGAGGAAGTTGACTACCGGCGCACCACCAAGCAAAGCCAGGCTCTCGTAGCCAGGAGAAGCCTGGAAAGAGAGACACCGTCAGACATTCTATACGTTCTGCAATACTTGGGCATCGGTGGCAAAGTCATCGACAGTGAGTCAATAACACTGATCGCCCCTTTCCGTTACGCTCTGTTAACATGACCAGGTCGTGAGAGCAGCAATCCTTTCAAGGAGATCCCCGACTATGGGAAGAAGGACGGCGAGACCACTCAGCGGACTGTCAATTCTGTGCTCGAGATCGTGACAAAGGTCAACACCAGTGCCAAGATCAGACGTGTGCGTCGTCGTCGGTCTCCGCATATCAGATATCCCGACGATGATTACACGTCGGCGTCTTCGGACAGCGAGAATGATGAGCGCGCGAAGGCCGGGAAGATTGAACGCACGCAGATGATTATCCACTCGCCGCATCTCATCAACGCATTGAGGGCGGTTGTAGCATACTACCCCAATGTCAATCTTCTAGGAGACACGGTGACCATCGATGCTCCTTACCGAGTTATCGTGCACCACCTCGACGCCCTCAAACAGTACAGATTCCACCAGCCTGCCAGCCACTCCACCGAGTACGCTCGTCTGACGGCGAACCACATTGATGTTCTTTTGAGTTTCATCGATCAGGCTGTCGGGGAGTCTATCCGGACTGAACAAGAACGACATCGTCGCAATGTCCCAGTTGCAACGTTCCAGAACTACTGGATGGCTCTGAAGCCAGGTGAGGTCATCTATGTCAATCATGATGACCTCTGGGAGCCCCACGTCATTAGCAGTACTTACCAGGATGTCACTTTGAGTGGACGCAACCGCCACCTGCAGGTGGTTGCCTGGGTCCTTGAGATGGGACACAACCGGATGAACCGAAAAATGTCTCAGTTCACTATTCCTTCGTGGACCGGCGAGCAGATCATCCCTTCTCTGAAGATCATTCCAGCTCGCTTCTTCCAGGATGACCCGCAAGCAATGCTGCAGAAGCAGCTGAGGCTCGGGAAGCTGTACTGGGAGCTTCTCCAACGCCCAACCTATATGGAGTATGACGGAATGCTTGTGCAGGCTCAACCTGGATCTCACTCGGGCCCGATCTTCAGCCGTGGTCCTTCAGGCTATGTGAGTCTTCCTACCTGGCCCCTTTGATTAATGACAGCAACTAAACTTCCAACAGATGACTGGTCGAGTGATTTGCGATGCCGAAGGCTTCGGTCGTTTCAACTTCCGTGCACCAGAGAACCGGAACGGCCCTCCGGGCCCGCCACGTCAAGTAGTGCCCCCAGGCATGATGCCTGGACAGCATCATGGACCGCCGCCTGCTCAAGACCATCTCCCGCATTTCCTTCCACGTTGCGGCTGCAAGGAATGTACCAAGGAGACCGATCGCACCGACTTATCACCGTTCGCGGGCTTTGACGACGTTAATCCCCTGACATCGCCAGCGCCTACTTCCGATATCTTCTACATTGCCTGCACCAACATCATTCCGGCCTTCCTTCTCGGCGATCGCCGTTGGGGCCACTTGAACCTCGACCATGTGAAGCCCGTCATCACAGACCGTGAAGCATTCAAGTATCTCGTCCTAGACGACGAGATCAAGATGACAGTCAAGGCCCTCATCGGCAAGTTCGCGGCAGCAGAGTCCGGAAAAGTCTCACCCTGGGCCAACGACTTTATCAAGAACAAGGGCGAAGGCCGCATCTTCCTTCTCCACGGCGCCCCGGGCGTCGGCAAGACCTGCACCGCCGAGTGTGTCGCAGAGCTGACCAATCGACCCCTCATCTCCCTCACCTCGGGCGACCTCAGCGTCAACTCGCACAGCGTGGAGCACAACCTCTCCTACTTCCTCGAGCTGGGCCAGCGCTTCGGCGCCCTTGTCCTCCTCGACGAGGCGGACGTCTACCTCGAGCGCCGCCGCGCAAAAGACATTGCCCGCAACGGCCTCGTCTCGGTGTTCCTACGCGCGCTCGAGTACTATCGCGGCGTGCTCTTCTTGACGACGAACCGCGTCCAGGCGTTCGATGCGGCTTTTACCTCGCGCATCCACGTCGCGCTGCACTACAAGAATCTAACGGATGTCGACCGCGAGCGCATCTGGGCCAACAACTTCGAGCGTCTCGACAGGGACTCGCACGGCCGCGTGCGTGTTGCGATCGCTACGCGCGAGTACGCCTACGACTCGCGCGATGTACGCGCTCTGCGGTGGAACGGTCGCGAGATCCGCAACGCGCTGCAGACTGCGCTCGCGCTTGCCGAGAGCGATGCTGCGGAGGAGGGCACCGACCGTATTTGCGTTACGGACAAGCACCTGCGGGCTGTGGTCAAGATGAGCCGCGGCTTCAGGGACTACCTCCGTAGTGGCAGTGTCTATGACGGGGAGAGCGAGGTCGGTGAGAGTGAGGGAGAGGAAGGAGATATTTATTCTGACTAAGCTTTCGTGTTTGGGTGTTTCTTGAAGAGACTGGGCAGATTTTAATTGTTCAACTCGGGTGGCCTTTTGCTTTGTAGGCTGGTTATTCACGAAGACTATGATAAGATTGACATAATGAGCATTGAATGTTGGATAGTTAGAACAACTTGATGAGTTAACTAATAAATTGACAAGTGCCTCCTTGTGGTTCAGCTGTAAACCAACTTATCCCTTTTCACTCACCTTTCGAATAAATACCTGCCAACGCTCATCTTCTTACACAGGCCTCAGCCCATGAACTAGATGTACTCGAACATCTCAATTCAACACAGGCCTCCACCCCTTCCTCCTCACAAACCCCTCGACACCCTCGTCACTCAAAACCTCATCCCCCCTTCGTCCCGTCACAACGCTCCTCTCAACGTCAGGACCTCGAACGTAGAACGGAAACCTCAGCCTCCCGCTCTCATCGACCTCGTCTCTCTTTCTACTGCCACCTTGTTCGTTCTCTTGACCATCAACATCACCACCACCATCACGGTCCCTCAGAACCCAGACCCTCTTCCCCCCAATACTCCTCCTCTCAAACCCGCACGCCTCCCGATCAAGCGAAAGGTACCATCGCCGCTGGTACACGCTCCCGACGCTATTCTCCGCGCCCCGATACGCGTTCGTCCTCCTCACGAACTCGTCCTCCACCTCCCGAATCTCCCTCTCCACAGCTGACAACTTGTTTTCCTCCCCCTCGCCACCATAACCATCACCACCGTAACGGTCACCACCATCAAGCGGATCAGGAACAACGTCCTCATCCCTGTCTTCACTCGACTCACCGCCAGAACTAGTCTCGACAACTTCGTTCTTCTTCTTCATCTGCTTCCCACCACCACCCCGCCTCCTCTTCCTCGCAGGCCTCCCCATCGCCCTCGCACTCTTCCTCCTCCCCTCCGCGTCCTCCCCCTTAGTCAGCCTCAGATTCAACACATACCCCTCAGGAAGCCGACTCCCATGCAACCTCACCCGAATCTTCCTCTCCGCAAACGCCCTCGCCAACTCGTCCTGCCCCGTCATCCCCCCATCCCCATCATCATCCCCCTCATCTTCACCATCATCGCCCCCGGAATCAGGATCAACCTCCGGCCCTCCCCTCCCTTTCCTTCTCTCACCCCTCCCCAACACCTCGTACCACCCACAATCCCAAATCACCAAACTCCCCGTGCCCCGACTCCCAACCTCAACGACATGATTCCAAAGACAATGCACCCTCGTCTCCGTCGCATTCCGGTTCAACCTCTTGGAGTTCGCGTCCCCGGGTAACCCGTACATCACCGCCCAGCTGACGCTGCTTGTGGCATTCACCTGCAGCCGGAGGTCGTAGTGCACGCCCGCGATCGGGTGGTCGTGCTGGTGCACCACAAAGTGCGCGCCCCGCCTCGACCTCACGTGCGCGAGGAAGAGGGAGCGCAAGCCGCCGTCGGCGGAGAGGTGCGGCGTGTTGGCAGGGTAAGGGGAGAGGGTATGTCGTGCTAGGTGGGCGAAGAAGTGCGCTGCCGGGTCGGGTTGCGTTGCGACGCCTGATTCTAACGCCGCTGAGAGGTTTGTAGTAGCCTCGCGCTTGATCCTGGACTCAATTTCGAGATTATGCTCGGGCTCGCGGGATGGCGGGTCCAGTATCGCGACCACATCTCGACCCGGCCAGTCGTCAGCTGCAGCATCCCGTACCTCCAACCCATCATCTGGTTCACTCTCCTCTCCCTGTCCGCCATCCTCAGTCTTTGGCCCCGGCACATCAAGCGACCATTCTAAATTTCGCTTCTTGATAAATGGGTTCTCGATGAAACTCGCACTCGGCAGTCGTTTCGATGCCATAGTTCCCTGCCTGCCTGATTCAAAATGGCAAGCTATTGAATAGGTCGGTATTCGCCACCGCCGGAAAAGAACGAAATCACAGTCTTGTCAAGTGAATGAATGGGGGTCCAAAGACCATCAAATCCATTTGCCCAATATTGATGATCAATGACTTTGAAAGGCTTTTTAGATGGCTTACACGGTGCTGCCAAAAGCGACAACTACAACCAAAAGTTGGCATGTCGTTGCACGGACCCCACTTGCTTCCGTCAGCACCCGGTATGCCGATCATGACGGGCCCGGCCTCCGGTCTGCTATCGCCATCTGGTGATTCAAACACACAAAACCTGCCAAACGAATACCAAGCACATGAATGGGGCACTTCATTCAAATGACTATAGAGATATCGCTACATAGCCCTTGTTATACCCTTACAACGCCTTGCCATGCAAACAAATTCGTTCGCGAGTGCGACCTTCGCGCGAGTTCTCGTTACCTCTAGCCCGACCTTTCAAGGCTGACACCGCCCCATCAGAGCTCGCACTATTCGCTTCATTCCCATGTGTTCCAACTAAGCAACGCTTTTCCCCATGTTTCATTGTACAAGACAAGATTCGAACACTCATACATAAGCCGATATCCTCTACGGCTTCTGTTCCACCAGGGTAGGCGCGATTCGTCTCTTCTTGGGCTCGCTGCCCTCTTCCTTCTCTCCCTCACTTGCCTCACGTTTAGTTCCGCTTGCTGCTGTACCGGCAGTCGATGCAGCCGGGGTCGGGTTTGTGGCAGCGTTGGTCCTCGGCGTCTCTGGCGGCGTGGTGATGGGGACGCCTGTAACCTTGGTGGAGTTGGCGACAGCAATGCCAGGCACGCTGCCCACAATCAATGATGGATTCGTCACCACATTCGATGACTGAGTCGCCACGGATGAAGTAGAGTTCGATCGAGCGGGCGACTGAGGTCGCTGGCTGACAAACCCGGCGGGTGGCGGCGACGGAGCAGTAAAAGAGCTCGCCGAGTTTCGGTGATGGTGACCCGAGCCATTTGGAAATGGAGACGGAGGGGCGAATGCTGAGCTTGGAGCAGGGACCGGAGTCGTTTGATTCGACGATGTCGCTCCTGTGCTTCCAGCAGTTGGATTCTTGGCAGTAGGCAGGTCTCCTTGATAGATCTGGCCCAGCTCACCAGGTGAGAAAGACAAGGTCGAACAGAATCCATCAGAGGATGAAACCAAGAGAGTGAGACCATCGCTTGACCTTTTGCGTATTGTTAGCCTTGTTGTGTCAACTTAGGGTGCAGCAAAGAATACTTACCAAGCTAGATCAGTGAATGTCGCACAGTGAAGATTGCTGACTATGCAGATAGGTGTCTGCTGCTGAGAATCATAAAGAAGGACGGCGTCTTGAGTCGCCACAGCGTAAATCATTCTGTAAGGCAGGGCAAAGGCCGGCTTGGGGCCAGGCGTAGAAGCGCTAGGTTCGGCCTTGCTCGGTGTAGAACCGGACTCTGGGACCGAGGTTGGCGGTGGAGGCGGGTCCATGACCGAAGTAGAAGTCACCGGCTTCGAGACCGGTTCAGGCAGTGCCGGGATGGGATCTTCAGAGGATGACGTATCGATGGTGATATGCTTGGTAACAGGAGGCGATGTCCGCAACGAGTAAAAGATGGGTGAGCACTTGACCACAACAGAAGGCTTCTTGTGACCAGGCAAGTGCGCAATTGGCGCCTTATTGATGCCACCTCTCGTGTAAATGTAGACGGTATTGGTGACCTCAAATGTGGGCTTCGCATTTCCTTCTGAGCTGTGTTGAGTTTGGTACTGGCCAGCTGGAGTAAGCAGAAGACTGCCATCTGGAGTGAAGGTCAAGCGTCGGAAAAAGGATGAGAGCGTCTCGTTAGCATAGAGTGTCGAGTTCTTCATACCAAGACCACCGGATGGGTGAGGCTTTGGCGATGGCTCCATGGACATTACAGCCGGGAGCGGCATTGACGGAGCCGGAGAAGGCGATCGTCTAGACGAAAATGACGATCTTCTGCTATGGCTAATCACACTGGGCGGGTTCATCGGCAATGCGATTGAGGTGGGAGTTCCGGGGGCGGAGGGCACCGGGGATCCAATGGCCTGTTCGACAGTAAGGTGGGTCCTCATGCCAAAGTCAGGAGGTGCAGGGCTGCTGGAGGATATGCGGCGTGGGGGCAGGTCACTCTTGTTATGGCTCGCAATCTTAGAGGGCTTGTCGTCGTGGTTGCCGCTCAGTGTATGCTGTCCATCCTTTGTTTTCAAGGAATAAATGTGGACGGATCGGTCGGAGGACTGGGTTGCGATGTACTCGTTCAAAGGATCCCATGCGACACCTTGAACATAATGGCTATGCTCAGCAATCTGGCGCACAAGGGTACCTGTCCTTGTTAGATATGAGTGTGGAATACGCCATCATCAGCGGGGAAACGTACCAGAGCTAGCATTGTAGATTCGAGCAATATTGTCCATGCTTCCAATGATGAAGTAGGAGCTATCAGGAGACCAGGCAAGGTCGTAAATCTCGGATCCGCTAGATCGACACATGTGCTTGGTTCTCCACGTCTCCTTATCCTCGAGGCCCTCGTTGCCAAAGGCAGGGCCGCTGTGTTCGGACATGACCCATATGATGACATTGCCGTCGTCGCCGGCGGAAGCGAGTATCTCACCTGCGCAAGAAGGAAGAAAGTTTAGCGAAATGCAGGATACAGCGTCCGGAATTGGCTTCTTACCTTTGGGTGCCCATCGAACGACATTGACTGCCTGTGTATGCTTGCTCAAGGTTGACAAGTAGTCGACCTTTCGATCTTCTCCATCGCTGTCTACCTTCCAGAGCTGGTGTTTGTGTTAGCATCGCAGCGCAGGGTCACGCGTGGGACCGGATGGCATGCTCGCCAGTTCAGGCGTCTGACGTACTCTCACGTTATTATCTCCTCCAGCCGTAGCTAGTCGACCCTTGCCGTGAGGCTCGAAATGGGCCGAGTAGACTGGGGCATTCTGGTCATGCCAATTGATGATAAGCGGCGTGCTCTTCATCGTGACTGAGTGTGTATACGGCCGTCTCGAGACATGTGCGGGATCGTGGGCGGTCGTGGGCGGGCTGAGTTTGGTGATGATGGCGCTCGTACGATGGGGAGTTTGGCGGATGGAATACGGGCCGTGCTGAATGTTGTCGAGAAGAGCTTGTCGGGGGAGTAAAAATCCGATGGTCGATTCGAGTCGGGAAGCTTCGTGCAGCGTTCGCGGTGGGATGAGGTTGGATGAGGGGCGGGTAGGCTGAGGAGGTCGAGCTTCTCCTTAGCTCGGCAACAACAGCTCGGGAGATTGGTCGATGGGCAACAGCTCCTTTGCAGCAGCGTCGATTCGCAGCTGCTTAGCGGCAAACCTCAATAGGCGGATTGGATTTGGGGGTGGGAGGGGTTGGGTTGACAGGAGCTTTAGTACCGCGTGGAACGACACATACGAGGTCCCGTGTTTGAAGCGGTATGGATAAAGAGGGAGGATAAAGAAGAAAATAGCGAAAATGGAAAATCAATTAAACTTGGCAGGGAATTGTCACGAGGGCGCAAGAATGGATGAAATGTCGTTCCCGAGCAGGGCAGGGTGGAGTTTGGTGTGGTTTGGTTCGGCGTGCAGGAGCTCAGACGGCTCCAACGCACGCGCTGTTGCAGGGACAAGAAGGAGCTGGGCTTCCCAGGGCACCCATTGATTGTTACCGTACCTTAGGCTCCATGGTGCCAGTCGCGGGCTTGTCCGCCTGTACGGATACCAGGCTGGTGTTTTCCACCGCAAAACCTCCCCAAAGTTTGACGGTCCCTTGGGTGGTGTGGCAGGTTCTCCAGCCGCTACAGCAACCAGACACGCAGAGCCTGTCGCAACTGCAGCGCCCAGCATCGGCATCATTTTAGCTTACCCATCCAAGGCGGGCTCTGCACTTCGAGAAAATCGGGGAGAGCAGCCGTGAGCAGGGAAACGGCAGGGAAGCTGCTCGCCATAAGGCGCCCAGGCCGTGTGTTTAGCCAATCAGACAGCTCCGTCAGAGAAAGCCTTTGAGGGAGCAATCCACTGTCTGGCTCATCCAGCCTCGTCTGATTGGCTACAGCCGTTTCCCAAGATGCTTTCGACTGGGTCCTGTCCTTGGAGTCTGAACTGAACTTGAATCCTTTCTTCTTCTTCTGCTTTCCATTTCTGCTTGGTATTTCAGCGCAAAGGATTGCGTTACGAGCAAACAGTAGTCACAAATTGGGCACAACTAACTCAGGCTGCCACCTCAGCCTTTCAACTTTCGGTACCACCGTGAAATAGCCGTATCTCATCACCAGACCCGTCACTGCTTATCGCATGCGTTTCTGCTCGTTCTGATTGGCTGGAGTCGTATGCACTGCAAGGTGTTGGGATGGGAGGATCGACGCACTCGTGGGCGGGTTTGAGGCAGTCGGCGCAACACCTCGAAACGAAGGGACTTTTCGCCCAGATTCCAAAGGGGATTCTCTGATTCAAGTTTATTTGGGGGCTCGTTGCCACTTTCCCCTGGTGATTGTGCCAGTTCCCTCGGGTTTCAACTTTGTTGTTGCCACCACTCACTCTCACTCTTTCAACTGCCTAACCATCTAATCTCTGAATGAGCTCTGGCTGGAGCAAGTACCCATTGCTCGACAATTGACAATTTTTTTCAGATGAGAGAGTGAATCTCATCGTACAATGGAAATGCATTACAGTCCCGATCTTGCCCCTAGGTACCTTGTCATCCTCCATAGCTCCCTACTTGAATATCGGTCTCCCAACATGCCGAGTGAGATATCTGCGCACCATTACTCCCTCCGTACACATAGGGCTGAAGTGCCTCCGCCAATGAATGCACGGCTAATGCCAATTGCTCATTGGGAATTTCCACTTTGTCTCCATCTTTGAACCCATGGAACTCTTGAGCACATCGCTTGGGCCCTGTTCCAAAAGACCTCCCTTCTAGAAGCACGCGTTATATCAGTCTTAGTCACAACTA